GCGGTAATATATACTAAAATGCTTTGGTATGATTTTCGATCTTTTTGGTCTTTGTTCGTTATGTTCTACTGAGAAGAGCGATAATGAAAATAAATATTTATGGGTACACAAAAAACCGCGTCATCAAAAGTTCAGTTTAAAGCAGATGCAGAATTGAAATGTGCCTAGAAAAACTGAAAATGTCAAATATTACTTTTAATTTAAAATAACATTTTTTTTTACTCTTTGAATTTATACATCTTCTTCTCTTTAGTCTTCTATTATTTCCTCGCATTGTTTGCGAAAATCACTATACAAGGCTCGGCCGGAACGGGGATTACTTGACTCGTATTAATACAAGGCAATTGTAACTCATACTTGTCCAGCAATCCTTTACTTCCCGGCCTCTGCAACAATGTACTATTATATTTTTCACAGAAAAACAGAACTCAACCATAAAAGTCGTTGACCTCGTATCTGAGAGTACAAATTTTGGACCTCACGAAAGCGTCTTTAACGTTACTAAGGATGTAAAAGAATCAGGTAACAAATACAGAAATGTAATCCAGGCACTGATTGAAAAATCAAACAGGCATACATGCAAAAAGGCGCCACATCGTATTGCTTCTTTTATGTAATTTTTTTTTATTCTAACACACATGTGAACTATTTTCAGCTTGTCAAATTTCAAATCAAGACACAGAATTGGTTCGTTATCTCATTCTATCCTACGGTGCTATATGCGACGTTGTGAGACAGATAAACGATTCCAATGCAATCGTTCTGAATCTACTGCTTTTATCTTTCTTCCTACACTTAGTAGTTAATCCTTACTACTTAATCTCTTTTTGGGGTAAGTCGCAATTTTGATATCTATGATAAAATAGCAGAAACCAACATCCAATGTCTAAGTAGTTAACTCTACGTGACCCCAAGTTTCTGTCCATGCTAGCATCACGAGCAGCATTCTCTCTTCACCACTTTTATAGCAAGTTTCCATTGCCACCTGGCACATCACCTTGTTATTGTGTGATCTATACCGAAAAACTAAAATTCAATTATTTCCGTATTTTTGTGATTGGAAAGCATAGGTACCTACATTAACTTATTAAGCATTTTATCAACAGCTAGCACGAAACATTGGGAAGCGAGTGCCATGCTCCAGATATTTATGTTTTCGTTCCATACTCTCAACATGATGATCATTATTGAACCTGCACACAGGAGTACTGAAGAGGTACAGTACCATTTTAATCACGCCGCCGACGGTGCAGTCGCTTAATTCTAATGAAGCTATTTGGATAGGCCGGTAGCCAAAATAAATCATAAAACATATCAATTTATTCTGCTCAAAAAAGTTTGCAAATAATATTTTCGTTTGTAACAGATGGAAGCTACCCAAGCTCTATTAGGCCAACTGACACGCAGAGTCACGAACCCAAGTGAACCTCTTTTTCATGAACTGGACCTATTTTACAAGCAGATCGTCCTCAACCCTGTTTCTTTTACGCCGATGGGAATTTGCTCTCTTACACGACCCATTATTACCACGGTAATTTTGTGTTTATAAATACGTAGTAAAGATGTCAGACATAACTTTCCTGATTTCGTACTATTGACCAAGCAGAAGGAAACCTACAAGAATGGCTTACTATTGGAATATAGCTGAGTGTACAAACTTCATGCGTTTTTCACGGATGGCGCTGACGGCAAAAAGCCTTTAAATTAAACCCAAAACAAGGATAATTACCAAAAGCATAGAAAAATTCGTAATCTGCAGACTGGGTCTGTAGCTCAATTAATTAAAAGCTGTGACCTCGGCATAGAAACAAACATTATCTCGACTCCAGTCAAATCGACGGAATTTTTCTGTGTCATTGTCGATCTTTGTGTCAATAATTATAAGAATATTGATTAAAACGTATTTATTTTCAGATTTTTGGCGCTGTTACCACATACATAGTGATAATTTTACAATTTAAGGCATTAGATAAACAAAGTTGGTAGATTAATACTAACTTGTTACGTTAGCATCTTACAACAGTATATTATGAGCTGCATTATTAGATTGTTATCAATAAGAAAATAATGTAAAATAAGTTACACACTTTTTTTATTTCATTCTTACAACGCTATGACTTATCGTGTATTAAAATTATCTACTACTGTTATAATCTTCTAACATTTGTTCCACCTTAACGGCATTTGAAGAAATTTCTTCAGGGGTTAATTTAAAACTATTCAAACCCAACGCTCCCAAATACATATCATCTTCAAATTCTCCACTTCTTGAAGTCGTACCACTATCATCAGCTTTATTCTCTACCCCTGGATCACCTATATACTCATAAAAATCATCAGATATATCTACTTGAAATTCGTCCGTATCTGTTTCAAAAGTTGTTGTACTTAAATATCCTTCATCTTCATTAGTATCCTCCAAATATGTTTCTTCTTCGTTCTTTATATTATCATTACTTTTGTAACTAGTACTAACATCCCTTTTGAAAACCGTTACATCATTCCTTTCAAGTACTTCCGGTTTTTCATTAAGTACTTCTATAAAATGTTGAAAGAGTTTTGGTATATTTTTAAATACAGTGTCATATTTGTCTCTAACGTTTCTTGTTTTATGTAATGCACCTGCAAATCAATTTAACATAAAGTTTCGAGAGTTCACAAAAGTAATAAATAAACATACATACATACATATACTTCATGGCCTTCCACATGATACGATCTGGATACACATCTTTCGCCTCATCAACACGCATCGGTGCTTTCATACATGTTCACCGGTTACGTATAATCTTAACCTAGCCTTTCTTTAAGACGTCTTCAATTTGATCGTGGTAAGTTTACCTTGGTCGGCCTTTACCAACTTGCCGGCCCATTCTCGCCTGTTTCATCAGTCATGGGAATGCAGTTGGATATGAAATTGATATTGGTCGTGTTAAGTTATAGAATAAACTTGTTTATGATTTATATAATTTATAATTTACAGAAACTAAATTACAGAAAATTGTCTTCCTCAATGAACTTTGACCTTTTGCATCAACACAAATGCCCTCTCAATAAAGTAATAATCAAACCATATACAGGGTGTAATCTAACGATTACACTTAACAGTGTGCTCAGGCGGTTATTCAGTAATTATTTTTAAATAGCAGTACAACTTGTTGTAAAAGAGTTCGTCCAGGGAAGCACTCTGCCACCTTACCTATTTCTGCCGCTCAGCGGTAATGTTAGCATTACTGCGTTCCGATATTGAAGAATAAGGGTGCTGGTGAAATTACAGGCACATGGGACTTGTCAACTTATGTCTCAGGGTGACGAGCGCAGTGACAGTGCTCCTCAGATCTTTGCGATTTAAAGCTCTGATTGGCGCTGCAACTGTTATGGACAGGCGTATAAGTTACCATCAAGCGCACGACTCGTTCATACCGTCACTCGATACACACTTATAGCCCCGCACTAGAGACACCCTGAGTCGCGGTTGTCATGCATGGACACACACATACACCCAAACTCACGAGAGAAATAAATGTAGGCTATACAAATATTTATCCCGGCCCGGAAACCGAACCCGGGATCTCTGCGTGGCAGACCAGCATGGTAACCATTCGGCCACGGAAGCAGTTATAGGTAACAATAATTTTACAGATAACGAAACTGCTGTAAATAAACTATTAAAACTGTAACAACAAACACAAAAGGTGATGTTTATTTTCAAAATTTTGCATTCAACGCAGGTGTTCCTAATAAACATCTCTACGAATGTCATATTAATTGTATATGAGCGTTTAACTTTAAAATTTTGGGTAAATCTAGTTTTACTTTTAAAAAGATATTTATGTTTTTTTACTCATCAGGCAACGTACTTTCGATATCACGACATCAGTTTAAAGGTTTTTGATAATAATATCTCTTATATTTACGGGATAATCGCCTTGGCACACTTAATAATTACACCCCGTATATTGGTTACTAATAGAGAGCGAAATATCTACTCACCATTATCATTAGTAGATACAACAACAAAGCTTATTAATGACAGTAATATGATTACGATCATCGCTATTTGCTTCCATGTAAGCTTTATCAATCTCATATATAAATCCTGGAAGCGCAGGAGTTGAATTCGTGTTACAGTTTTGACCAACAAATCCACGACAAATTACAATTGAAAAGGTATAATTAAAAAAGATCTCAGAAACATCTACCTTTTCACAGATCTATTTAGCAGAAACAAGAACATCAGACTTCAAGTTAGGTAAGGAAATAACTAAAAACTTCCAGCTAAAATGTCTTTCTAGCCTGATAATAGCAACAAAAGTGGTAGAAGTGTTGTAAATTATGGTGTTATGGTAATCTCCGTCGATGTGGCGTAACTGGTGCCTGTGGAGACAGATAAGATAACAAAATAATGAAACTAGTTCTCCAATTAACCTCAAAACTGCATTCGTGTAAAGTTTGAAGGATACAATAATGTTCACATCACGATACCTACCACAGACATATGTCTAAATATATTATATGTCTGTGATACCTACGTATAGGACGTCAGAAATGAATGCATATATTATTATCTTTATAGATATTAAGAAGGTTTCCTCTAAATGATTATAACTGTTTATGTGCAGCCTCTAAGCCACAGAACGAACCAGCGGACTATGAGAAATGTTTGAAAGTATTTCGTCACCCAGTTAGGCACCTTTACACCTACCAGCCCTGGCTATAGATGTCGGTATTCACTGTAAATAAATGTTTTATTGAATGTCAAGACGTTTGGTTCCATGGCTTAGTTGGGATAGCGTCTGGCACGGTTTGCTAGAAGAAATCCGGCTGGAACGAAAGATATTTTTCTAAGTGTTCTATCTTTGTATTAATAAATATACAAATATAATTTATCAAAAACATATTTGAATAAAAGGGACGTGGTTTTGTTTCATTTGGATATATAGTGGAAAGATATTATAATATAATTTACAACTGTCACTGGAGTCTTCTTTCTACGTCTACTATAAAAATGTCCGTCAGATTTAGTACAAAAATTTTTAACGTAGTAACATGTTTGTTATTGGTAAAGTCAATTACTGGGTGTTCACTGAAGGTGAGTGTCGATTACTGGTTAGATAAATTAGTAAAGTTTTGGTGTTAATTACTGGAGATTTAAAGAAATTCCAGTTTAGGTTTTTTTAATAATAATTATTGTGTGTTTTATGAAACATACTACAGTATCATCTTTCTTGACGACAATATCTGTCAAGTAAACAATCACTATTGAAATGTGTTTAAAAACAAAAAAGTTATTTCAATTTTAAAGACACACTTCCTTTAAAATGTCGGTCATTGGTGCCATCACCCCAATATGGTATATTAAAATAATCAGAAGCAAATTTTCAGAACTAATCCCATTACCTTTACTACTTCAAGAGTAATAAATAATGTGAAAATGTCACAACTTTATGTTACATTTTGCGTATTCCCAAAAAGATGTAATTTAGCGCTGGGTCATGTTTTCATTCTAAAGGTGCGATATTATCTAGTTGGCTTTAAACGTCTACTATATTGCCCAATATAACTAAACGAAGAACTTATTTTCATTAATATTTTCCGTTTAGAAAAAAACTGTGTCCATCCGAAGAAATACGTGGTTTAAAAAGGACACTATATTGATTGTATAGAAAAATTTTAAAAGAATTGCAACACTTCATAATGACTTTGCGTGTTTGGTATCATAGTGGGGTTCAAAATTAAAGACTTGTAATTAAGTAATTGAGTTTTTTCTTCAAATATAAAGAATGGTAGGAATGTCTACAAAGCATACATCAAAAATGTTTGCGACAAGAATTGGTCTGGCTTTCGCCTTCGCTACTATTGGTGAGTCGTTCAACTTCAATAGATAGACGACCTACATTGGCCGATTAGTTCTGGTCTGGGTGTTTTGAGAAGTGCCCCAGAGTGATTTCCTTTGCTAGTACAGGGAGTGAGTTTGAGACCAGGCAATTGTTGTGGTTATGTGGTACATATTAGATTATGTTATTATGGGATAAAGAAAGATATTCGTTAAAACTGTCATAAGTTGTAGAACGAAAGTTTGGATTGGTAATTAACATAAATCGTGCATGAAAATTGAATTAAATCATTCCGCTATCCTCTTTCTATCATCGCTAGACTACACGTAGTCTAGGGTTCCCTACTATACTTTGGATATTCCCAGGGTTTGCACGAGGCGTTACGTTCCCTGAACCACTATTCCAGACACAGTTAACTTGGGCCTTTTCAAGGCGAGAATGTATAGGTATTATTATAAGTATGCATGCTCTATCGTCGAACTCATCGTCTCTTTCCATCGTGAGTAATGGAGCTCTAACACAAACTTATGTTAAACCATAAAGAAAACTATTACATTCAGTCTCGTGAGCAAGCGCATCGGAGCATTTTGTAGGCGTGCAGGGTGGAAGTGGCTAGGGCGATTATTGTACGAACACTGCACTAGGTTCCTTCACGTTTGGATTCTACTTTCCATTTTCAATCAAGTGGAATGTAGTCATCTACCTATGACCCGCAAAGCAGCTCATTGAAAAGAAAATATTTGATCGAAGTGTTTTTACACTATATATAATATATAAGTATTATTTATATATATAAGCTGTATTTTTTCGGTACAACACCCCACATATCTTGGACTAATTTTTTGTAATTGTGCACAAATACGTGGTTTTAGTGGTATAATAATAATAACGCACACATTCAACATAGCACCGCACTAGGGAAACACTGTTTCACGTGTGCCATGGACACATACATAGACAACCACCAATTACACCAAAACTCAAAGAGAAACAAATGTAGGTCATACAAATATTCCTCCCGGCACGGGAATCGAATCTGACACCTCTGCGTAGTTCGGCCACGGAGGCGGTTAATATGTAATAATAATAAACACATAAGTCTTACTACAAAAACGTTTAAGCAGTTGTTTAGAAAAAATCGTACTATAAATTCGCGCCTAACCATTGTTTTTGGATGGACAGCGGTTGGACATTGTTTAAATTTAAACCACTGCCAGATGTTAGTTTAACGCGTGCTTTAGCCATCGCTACAGATCACCAATACACAAGGGTCATCGCAAGCTATCGTTTACTGTTGTGTTTTATTTCTCTTTTCTTTTATTTGTGGTGATTATTATGGATATCTTGGATTTTATTGATTCTATTGACATGGACGTGTGGATGTGGATTATATGGATATGTTTCGAGACAATACATCGCGAGCGAATTAATCCATACGATGAAGAGAAATTTGGAAAAAGGTATAGATTCAGTAAAATCTTCGGATTATAACATAGTGATTGACATGAAAGAAAGTTTCGATTTTGTAGAATACAGACGTCGACGAGTGTCTGCTACATTAATAGGAAATATTGTAAGAAGAAATTTCATACAATAACATTTTTGATATAATAAGTTTGTTAATAATATTTTGACAAAATTATGCCATTTTTTATTTCAACAATAGTATTTCAAATTCCTTTTTTCTCCAAGTTTTCTATCAATACTTCAATTACTTAGTAATTTCTGCTTATATCCCCTGGTGACACAATTCTTTAGTGTAGTACTTTCTTTTTAATTTGTACTCCTCCTCCCATCATTTCGGTTCTCTCTCTTTAACTTCATTGTTTGTTTGTAAAATAGTAGTTTTTGACTTAATCTGAAATAAATAGGCAGAGTTGTAGTAAATTATGTGCAAACATAAAATAAGACATTTACGAATTACTCTCTCAACTTTGCGTTTTTTACTTTCTGCTTTCTGTGGCATTTTTTGTTTTCTACTATATTATCAATAAGGCGTTTGGGTAGTAGTTTACGTGCCGTTCTGGAATATTTAGGAGTTATTATTTTAAATGCTGAGATAAAAATATGTAGCTAAAAAATAGTACAACTGCACTACCTCCTCATCATTTATTTAGTAAAAAATACTTGTTCAACAAGTGCTGGTTTATCTATCTGGTCAACGGAGTCCTAATTGAGAACAGAGAGCTAATTACACCTTACTAAAATGGGTAGTCATATATGACTATTTATGATGTCGTCTTGGGGTGACTTCATATGCAATTTCTATGTATTGCACTAGGGCGAAAATTTACAATAGGGAATTTATTTTCTTTGCACATTATCCAATCAAGTTGTTTTTGTTGGTATTGGTATCAGTTTTTTTTATTTCAATAAACAGAGTCGCTCATAATTTGAAGGAAGAGGTCCTAAAATAATGTTTACATAATTTAACGCAAATGTTTTTGGATTGTTCCCGTGGATACTTACGTAATTTCGTGGTATTTAATTCCCTTCTCTGGGCTGACACTACTAACTTTTTCTTCTTGAATACAATTGTCACCACCCTCGCGTTTTTTATCCTTTTCTTGAGTCTATTTACCAATTTAAATACAAAACGAACGAGAAAAGGCGAAAGTTTTTTCAAGAAACCAACAATCGCTAACACTACACGCACTATCAGTCCTCACCGAGGTTCAGGTAAAAACTACGTTTCGTTACTCTTTACCCAATAAAAAACAGGCTAAACGGTAAAATTAAATTAAAAAATATTTTAATTTTTTATTCAATTGATATTCAATTTCTTTTTTGTGAAAATTACTCCACTAGTTTGTTATAATTATTAATACAAAGATCGAACACTCAGAAAAAATTCCTTCGATTCGGCCGGATTCGAACCGACGTCTTCTAGCTTACCGTGCCAGACGCTATACCAACTAAGCCACTGAACGAACCAGCAGACCTCATGAATTTTCTATGTGCTTGCGTCGTGTCTTTGTATTTGGTTTTTCAACGACTGATTAGTCGTAGCGCCATCTATGAGAAATATATGAAAGATTTATCACCCAGTTAGTACCTTTACAGCTACCAGTCCTTACGAGAGATGTCGCTATTCACTGTATTTTAGTTTTTTATTGAATTGATATTAATTTTTTTTTTTTTGTGAAAATTACTCCACTAGTTTGTTATAATTATTAATACAAAGATCGAACACTCAGAAAAAATTCCTTCATTGTAAAACTTGCAAATTACTTTATATTTTTTTATGACAAAACATTACTAGTTATTTTTAAAACTATTAAAAAACACTGTTGGATCTGCGTAAAATAGAAAAGATGGAGACAAACGGCGAATGACTGAATGAATGAATTCTAGTGCTGCCATAGATGATTATTATTTCTGTGCTTCTACATTGTCTACAAAGACTAGCGTTAAACATGGTTTTGTGGTATGGCACGTTAAACACTGTTTTAAACATTGTTTAAAGAGTTATTTACTTACTAAGTAAACGCATGTTAAAACAGTGATTATTAAGTTTTTTGTAGTAAGACTGATAAACAATATAAATTAACTCCGGTGCACTACTCAGAACCAGAGGTAGTCAAGCGCCCGGGGTTTAAGCCCGGCGCTTTGTTAACACCGGGCTTAAACCGAGTCAACCCATTAATGCCCGAAATTGAGAGCAAAAACTATTTAAGTAGTACAACTAAATAATTGTTGCAAATCGAATTTTGTTCAAATTAATTGATATTATAGCAAAATTTTAAGTGATTTCTGATCTAGACAATCAGATTAGCCTTTTCATTAAATCGATTCGCTTGAAAATCGCATTGCAATAAAGCGACACAAAAAATCGTTAGATTGATAATCGAAATATGCTTCCTAAGTAGTGAGAATCTATAGAATTGCAAGGTATTGCGTGGAGTTGCCTCTTTTTCGTCTAAAAAAGATTTTTTACATCGAAATTTGTAATAAGTATGGAATTATGCCAAATTCCGCCGTTTCCGCCCACGATTTTGGGCAGGAATAAGTTAAAACCCGGTTTTGGGTAAAAATCCGGGCGAGTTGGTTGAGTTTTATCTCTGTTGAAGTCGTCAACTAGACTTAAAGTAGATTTTGATTGTAGGTAAATATATGATGCCGTCCATAAAACATAGGTAGTGTACGACGCACACACACTACAGCGCGTTTGCAGTGTGTGCGTAGCGTGACCATCCCGGACAGTCCCGCTTTTAATCTTCGTGTCCCGCTGTTTCTAAAATACTCAAAAAAGTCTCGCTTTGACAAAACAGATTAAAAGGTGACAATCAATTTTAAAAAATGGTGGGAAAGCGAAGCTACACAAAATTAGTTCTTTTTTTTTTAAATTTTTGTATATTACACATTTTTAGTTACCTTTTAACTTTTTTTAATTATTAAATATTTTAAATTTTTATTGAATTGATATTCAATTATTTTTGTCAAAAGACTCCACACTAGTTTGATATAATTATTAATACAAAGATTGAACACAGAAAAAATTCCTTCGATCCGGCCGGATTCGAACCGACGTCTTCCGGCACGGTATGCTAGATGATGTCAGTTCGAAGGAATTTTTCTGAGTATTCGATCTTTGTATTAATAATTATAACAAACATTACATATTTCTTTGATAACTATCATGAGCGCATTGTCCGCACGCTGAGATTCGCCGATGTTCGCCAATTGGATGCGACTACATACCGTCGTCGCATATTATTGTTAGTTTTTATTTATTTTGTGTTGCTGTGTTTGTCAAAGTCAAAGATTACTTATTACATAGGTAAAATAAATTTACACTTGAAATCGTCACATTTAAGCTACTGCTCGTTCACTACTGTTCGCTGACCTCCCTGAGAAGAACGAGCAAGAAACTCTAGGGATTGCTCTTTTCAAATAAACTTAAATGCTATGGAATACACTTTGAATCAAATTTGTGTGGGTTCTGGAGCCATGTCGTCTTTCCATACATCTTTATCTAACACGTAGTCTTCAATTTTGTAATATGATTTTTCGATCAAAATATTTTTAATGTAGTTTTTAAACTTAGGAAATGATAAACTTAATATATGCTCCGCAATCTTATTGTAAAAACGATTACAGTTCCCCATAAAAGAGTTGTTTACCTTGGTTAAACGAAATCGTGGTACCAAGAGTTTGGATTTAGCTCGAAGGTTAATATTATGGATGTCTTCTTTCTTATTGAAATTATGTATATTTTTACGGGCATATAAAATATTTGAGTAAATGTACTGTGATGCCACAGTCATGATACCAGTCTCCTTAAACTTTTCTCTGAGAGAAACCGAGCGCCTAGACGGTACACAGAACGAATCGCTCGTTTTTGCAATACAAATATGGTTTGAATATCTGCCGCTTTACCCCACATGAAAATCCCGTAGGACATTACACTATGGAAGTAACTAAAGTAAACTAGTCTAGCAGTACTAACATCGCATCGGTAAGCTCGCGTATTCTGCGGACTGCGTATGCAGCGGAGCTTAATCTGCTGGCCAGGGAAGATATATGTGGAAACCATTGAAGTTTACTATCTAAGGTCACTCCCAAGAAGACTGCTTTATTAACAAAGTCTAACTTTTCTCCGTTTATTTCTATGCTTGGACTAGTAGATTTTACGTTAGGTAATTCAAATTTAACACATTTTGTCTTCTTGGCATTAAGCAATAAATTGTTAGCATTAAACCAATAAACTACCTTAGATAGGGTATCATTAATATGGTCATAGTTAATATCATGTCTGTCTGTTTTAAAAATCAAGGATGTGTCATCAGTAAACAACACTATTTGTATTGTGCAACTAAACCTTGGACTTATGCATTTTGTAATTTAGTAACAATCTATGGACCTAGTTCCGAAATATTTTTTATTTTTTATTATTATCATAGACATGTGATTTATTTTTAAAACAATAATAAATTTTACGAAAAATATAATGGTCACTTTATGTATGCGTTACAAATTGTAATGCTCAAACGCGCTTTAAACCTTTCCAGTTGTGACGGCCGGTCACCATCTCCGCAAGAGGTCTCCAGACTCTATGGAGGTTCAGATGCCTAGCTACTCCTCGGACAGTAACGAGGATAAGATGAAAGACGAGGGGGATTACTGGCAAGGCGAGGGGGATAGGATGAATGAACGACAAGAGGATGCCCAGGAAGACAGGTCAGAATATTTAAAGATTCAAAGACATAATGTCCATTGTTTATTGAAAAGACTTCATAACAGTGCTACAAAACAGAAAGGAACCTAACTTAAAGAAGGTCACTATATTACCTCCACTTGCAAATGCATATTTTAATGCAAAACACGACGACTGCTGTATCATGGTGCAACCATAAACTAACATAAACGCAATCACAACGTTAAAGAGCAAATATCCCTAAAATATCCTTAACATCTGTTACAATAAGAACTTCAATTAGTTGATAAACTTGAAAATAATATTAGTATCCATGCATTAAACTACTGTTGGGAGTTTTCAATAGTTTTATTGCAACATTAACTGTATATTCAAAATTGCCGTGTGGCAACATTCTTTTCTCTCTCGGTGACGGAATTAGTGTGCTGTGAAATCAAAGCTTCATTTTAAATATATTCCGAAGTTTTCTCCCGCGCTCTATGGCATACAAGGCAGCTGCCGAACATGAATCTTCAAGCCGGATTTGAACCAGCGACCTATGGATATAAGGCAGCCGACCAACAACTTTACTAAAGGTTCTCTGAAATCGAGTAATCAGCTGCAAGTACAAAATACTCAATATCATTTTTAATTTACTTCTATAATTGAATAAATAGAGCAATATATATAACATATGCAAATATAATAACAAATATTTGCATACCAATAATTAATAGTAATAATACATTAATGACGTGTAAAGAAACAGAAGCAAAATTTTATATTTATAATTGGTAGAGTTACATGTAGAGAATGCCATCGATCGATCAATAATTTGTGCAGAAAGTCTTTTTTCCCCCGCTCATTTTTAAACACATTCTCTTTTTTGTTTTTAGAGAGAACAAGAATGAAAAAAATCAAGAAGACTTCAATAAAGAAAAAGACTACCGCGAAGAAGAAAATGACAATAATAACAAACAAGCCGAAGAAGATTACAACGAAGGCAAAGATCGCCTCGAATCGAAACAGGCAGAAAATGATGAACATAACAAGGAACATGATAACGACAATGACTTTGAAGGGAAAGCCACTGAATCTGGCGAAGAATTTAACAGGGAAATGGGACAGAAAGAAGACAGATATGAAGAGAAAGGCGCAGATGGCATGAACGACAGACAAGAGAAGATGGAAAACTACGATGCTAAAGAACAAGGTCCTTCTATGAGTTATAACAGAGATTAAAAAAAATCATATTATTATCCACCAAAATGCGAAATTAAAATGGTAAGGTCAAAAACAAACAAACTAAGAAGCACAAACGTATTGTGTACACAATTGTACATATGTAAGGATGTATAAAATACAATGTTAAGATAATACGACTTAAATTTCATGATATTAGTCTATCCAGGAACTCATATGCGTTTCGAGATTTTCATTTAATATTTTGAACAAATTGTATCAGCTGATTATGTTTTGATTTATGTTTTGTGAAAGAAGTCGTAAACAAAATGTCATCAATTGATACGGGTTCGGGTTTATACGAAGATAATTGATTATAACAAATACGTAATGGCGGCGGCTCGTACATTTGTTGTGAGCCACACTTAAGCTTTCAATTTGCTGAAGATAAAAAATGTACACAACTTGTGTTTTTGTTTAAATGCACCATAATAAGGAAAATTTTATTCAATTATATTATTCAAAGCAGTTAACTAGTTGGTTTTATTTATATGTTGAAGCGAGGGAAATTGGATCATCGGTTTGTGAGCCTTCAGGGTGTTCATCAGCCATGTGGGCAACTCGAGCAAATAATTAACACAGCCGTTAACTTAATGTAAACTTTTATTAGGCACGTAGCTACAAACGATTAATTTTAGATGACACTTTGTACACTTTCGATGAAACAGACACACTCGTGTTGCTTTGTCGGAGTCCGGGCAAGAATGCTTTTTTTCTCCACGACTCCCCAACACGTGCATGTCCAGGCGCCGAACGGTTGGCACGCCTGCGCTTCATCGATCAATCAGGGCAACCGCAGAGTTGCCAACGTGGCGGCCTAGACGGCGACTACCCGGTTCCGGAAGTGGACTTTAATCAGATGACCATCCTTTCGCTGCGACATATATTAAAAAACCCAATTTAATACGTATCTATTGACTTTTACGTAAATATAAATAGGACAGTTAGACAAAAAATACACATACATACAGCCAGTGCGCCCGTCACCCTGAGACATAAGTTGAGAAATGCCATGTGCCTGTAATTTGCGGGGCTATGTTGAGTGTGTGCGTTGAGTGTGTGCGTTAATTTCACCAGCATCCTTATCCTTCAAAACTGGAACGCAGTGATGCTCACGTTACTGGTTAGCAGCAGAAATAGGTAAGTTGGCAGTACTTCCCTGTACCAACTCTATCACAAGGAGCTCTACTGCCGTTACTAAACTAAGAACGTTTTAGCACATTTACTTTAAAATATTTTTACTTATTTTAAATATTAAAATAACAGACTCTGCTTCTTTGCATTTTATTAATGTTATTGTTAATATAATCAAAGCCTGAACGAGAGTCCCTGCCTAAATGACCTTGGCAAAAATGTTATTGCTGCCATCTGTTGGCCTTTTCAAATATTATTACAAGAGCATCGAGGATTTACTGGGTAACGTCTCGCACATGAAACCGAATACTCTCGTCCAATAAAACTAAATGGAAGGTCCAGAACACGATTTCGTAATTAAAAAAATAATACTGAATGGATGTTATTGCAAATAAAGTGTTTTTTTTTATACATAGTAAGTACTTAATTATTCATTGGTTTATCATATTTTTTTCTCATTCTGTCTAGCACGCTATTGCCAGTTTATAACCTTACCTCTCACTGCCCAGATCGGTCCACCTTTCCTTATCTTCTGTTAAACTAATATATGTATATTGTATGCATTTGGTGCAATAAAGAATATATATAATATTATATAGTATTATCAACAAAGATACCTACAGTTTTACTGTCATTATTTATTCATGGAAAACCAACAGCTTTCCTATCATTTAATAAAAACAGGAATAGAAACATAAAGTCTATTACAGGTTTCCACCTATATTTTCAGACAAATCAAACACGGGCATTAAACAAACGAACAATAATTTAAAATTTAATTCCGAATTCATTACGTAAATTATCAGATCTATCTATGTATGATATACCTAAATGTAATAACAATTATGGTAAAAGAGTTTGGACTTCCTGTGATATTAAATAGCTTATAAAAAGCCTGCACAAGTCAAAAACAAGTTAAAAAGATTTTACATAAAACTCACTAGAAAAGGATAAATAATCTGTAATTTTTTCACACACACACAACAGATTTTACCTTGCATGTACTGTAACTTGTTATTAATATTTAAAACAAACAGTTTTAATTTTTTTTTAAATAAAGTACATTTGTATACTATATATTTATATATTTTAGTTAAGCAATGGGAACTGCTATGACTGCTATGACGGTACTTATACGCATACTAAAACTGGTGAAAAGATGCTGGAGCGTTAGTCCAGGTCCAAGGCTAGTACTTCAAGGGATAATGGAAGCAATCCTTCTGTGGGTATATTTTCAGGCACTTCTGTGTTGCTTTTTACAAGCACTTTAGTAGGTACGTCAGTGGTATTGTCTCCAGTGGTTTTTTTTGTGGCAAATTCATATCGTGTAATTGCTTGTGCGGATAGAACTGTGTGTGTGATTACTTTTGTGTTTACTCTAGTCGTTACTTGTCCCAGTTCTGTAGTAATTTCTCCATAGTCAAAGTCTTGACTTTCTGATATTTTTAATTCATCATCAATGATACACTGCATAAATTGCCGCGCTTGCTTGCATTTATGTTCTATATCTGAAATTTGTTTAGATATTGACCATTGAAAACTCTACCTTATTAAAACTATATGCTCTACATTTACTGTCGATGCAGAATAGTGTGCTATTTGCGTACATTCGCTTCTTAAAAGGCGTATTGTCTCAGTGTACCGTCTGATATAAGCTGAGGACCGGGCGAAATGGCAAACATTGCACGAAGTCTATGTCCAGCAGTGGACTGATGATGATAACCCTCTGATGATATTTATAATGAAAAAACTCTTTAACTTCTGCACTGTCTACGCATTCACATTAATACACTAAAACTTTTTGGCCGAAGGGTGTCATATATCGGCGATTCCGCGGCCGGTTACCTGACACCAGATTGCGGCGCACGTCGCCGATAAGTGAAATCGTGTAGATTAGTTTTTTTAATTATTATATTGTATGTATGTTAGTTTTAAGGTATATATAATACAGGTGTATTTTGTTTTTATATTGTTATGTATGTTAGTCGATGAGGTATGTAAATATGGGTCTTTTTGTTACCTGATATAATTAAATAAATAAATAAATAAGTAAAATTATTATTTCAAAATCTTTACCTAAGCTTATATGTTTTAATAGTGGATACAACCTCAAATGGCTTTGGCTCAATTGGTTGATTCCGCACAACAGTGACAGTGTTGAATCACTTTGGAAAAAATATTCAGTGAAATCATTGACTTACAATTATATGGACGTCGGGTCCGCGCTGAAAAGTGTCCGCACTTGTAAGGCGCTAAAATCGTATACAGAGCGCCAAACTCCGCTTTAGTCTTCATTTGTTCGACTGACAGCGCGATACTGCGATGACATTACAATTTAAATTTCGAATAGGTTGACTTGGGACATTTTTTTCGTGGTTTTTGTATTAGACCCGTCGTCCATTTATTTGTAAGTCAATGAGTGAAATTGATGATTTACACTGATTAATTACTACTATATGGTGTGAAAACACAATTCCTAAAAATTTTCACTATGGAAAAAAAAACACAAACTTGTTTACAAAAAAACCGCTGCATTCAATAGGTCCTTTACATATACCAAAGTTTTTTTATATCAGCTGATCTAAATAGAACACGTATAGTATACGATATATAATTTTCAAATGGCTTTAATGTCGTTGTGTAAAAAAAAAATTCTGAAATAAAGCCATCGTCTCTGCCGTTCGACCCGCACAATAAAACCGATTCGGTACGGGAAAATTTTGAGTTCGAGCTGAAGTAGGTAGTATCTACTTTTAATACACTAAAATAATTATTTCAAAATCTTTACCTAAGTTTGTACGCTTTAATAAATATTTCGCCGTACGTAAAAATAAAGTTTGTTCATTTCAAGGTAAAAAATATAGACAAAATAAACTACTCACGCTGTACTTGACTAGTGCAATTTTCAATCGTTTTAACCGCCTCGTATAACGTAACCCGTTTAAAATTAAAAAAATATTCAAGAGTTTTCGGGTCATAACTAGGATTGTCTACTTCTATCAGTCCTGATTCCTTTATTATGCAGTGTATATAGCACTAGAACAACATTAGATAGAATATAATTGTTATTGACATAATGTACCATAGACAATAGACAATATAAGTCACACTGCGGCCCGCCATTCCCGCCATGACGACACGAGACAGTGGTGTAAGAGGGTAATAATGTTCTGTGAGCGTGAGCGGGCGTGAATCGCACGTGTACTTCCAAGGAGCACACTTTATACGCCTTAAAACTGTTATATCTATAAACAGTCTAAGGGTCCTATTCTAGAACGCTATTCAATGCTCTGGAAATACGACTCTAATGGCAGGGACTTGAGTATGATTTCGAGTGCTTTAAACCATAGTCAAATCCTGACTTGAGCGTTGAGTAGAGTTCCAAAATACGACCCTAAGGGCCGTATTCCAGAACTCTACTCAATGCTCAAGTCAGGACTTGAGTATGATTTCAAGCACTGGAAATACGACCCTAATGGCAAGGACTTAAGTATGATTTTCAGTGCTCACTGCAATACTCAAGTCCTGACTTGAGTATTGAGTAGAGTTCTGGAATACGACTCTTAATATGGTATTGATTTAGATAATAGTTCTCTATAAATGGTTTTAGAAAAAAGAAATTGTTCTTATTGACTTATTTCACTCAAGTCAAAATTTTAACACCTTAATACCAAACAATTTAATTAAGTGTAATCTCTCTTAAGATTTACTCTTATAGTCCTTATTTTAAGTTCATCTGTAGAACAACTGATTATTTTTAGTAAAATTGTTCTATACACATCCAGTAAAGTCTATTAATACTGTAAAAACTAGTGTTCTTAAGTTTATTCTAGATATATTTAATTTATAGACATTCTGTAGTGTTTGTACTTATTGACAAACACGTTATAGCCCGTCTTCAGTAGATTTTATTTA